GTCTACAAGAGCAAGAAAGCTTTACTGAAAGTCAGGCAGAGAAAAGGAGTTTTGCCAGAGTAGTGTGATAGGGAGAGCTGCTAAGACAGAGGGGTAGGAGAGATACTGGCAAAAGGAGTTGTGCCAGGACAGGGTCCCATGGGGACAGCTGTGGCAAGTTTCTGTTGAGCTATAATTTTATATTTTTCTAAGCAGGATGTAGGGTGCTTGTCAGCTTGCAGGAGGGCTGCTGTTACAATTGTCTTCTCCTGGGAACGTCCTGTTCCCATCTATGATAGATGTCAGCTTGCAGGGGGTTGCGGTTTCGATTGGGAACTATTCTGTTCCCATCCATTGATGGGTGTTTGTTAGTGTGCAGGGGGTTATCGTTGTGACTGGGAACTGTTCTGTTCCCACCTATGATGGATGTAAGGTGCTTGTCAGCTGCAGGTATAGGGCTGGCCAGGGGAGTCAGGGCCAAGCGGTTAATGTTTACGCTCGCTCCTACTAACTCACAAGCACGCTCCTGTTAACTCTTTACTTGTTTCATCAGTATTCAAGAAATTTTCTTTAATGAGTAAATGCCCCCTTGGCTGATACTTGTATATCAGATGCTTAGACCCCAAAATGTAAAGAGAATATTAATTACTGTCAACCCAAACACCTTTCACCTTCTTCCAAATCAACCCAGGATTAAAACTCAAAACAGAAGCACTGTAAACCTCTGGCCAAGAAAAGGCACAACCAGGCTTGCGCAACAACCAGTACAACTGGCTGATCCCTCTGCTCCTGATGTCTCCCTATTAAGCCGCATTCTGCTCCAGTAACATATCCACAGTACTGTCTCCCACCCGGACCCAGAGCCAGGCTGCAGCGGGAGAACTAGCAGAGCAACCCCACTCTCACTCCTCCTCCCCGAAAATTCTCAGCTTCCCAAATGCCAGTCCGCACCCGGAATTTCCAGGCTGTCCACTGTCTTTTCGACCTGCAGTTACTGTGAAATGCTCTTTCCCAGTGCTCCCTGACGAGCTGCATGAAAGGAACCAGAGCTGTTATAATCATATTTAATGACGGCATCACTGACTGCAGAGGAGCAATCTATGCAGTCATGAAAATGCTTGCCATATAGTCGTTTCAAACTTGAACATATCCAGCTTAACAACATGACCAATCAATACAAGAATATCAGAGAATGGTCGCTCTTTCAAATTCCCCAGAACAGTAAATACAGCTGCTTTTTAAAGTCTAGAAATTGTAAAGCTAGAATCCAGACTTACCATTCACTCAATGGTTGTTCTGGGTTCCTTACTATGTTTTGGGTTTATCAGATGCCATCACTTTACACTAAGCACTTAGCCCCAAACAAAATATCCCTAA